AAAGAAGCCGGAGGAAGAAGCAGGAGGAGCAGGAGGAGCAAGAGAAGGAAGAGGAGCAAAAGGAATAGACGGAGCAAGAGGAAGAAAAGGAGCATGAGGAGCAAGAGAAGCAGAAGGAGGTACAGGAGGAACAGGAGGAACAGAAAGGCAGGAGCAGGAGGAAGGCAATGTTACAGGATATTTGATCCCACTGTGAACCCCAAAATTGTGAAGTGTAAAACCCTGCTTCTTTAAAGTTTTTTTTTTCCTTAGAGCAAGTACAGAAATTAAGAATAAATTTAAAAATAACAAAATGATATTAATCATAATTGGTATTGAGTTAATTTCAGTTATGTTATTTAGCTTTTCATTTAATGCTTCTATCTTTAAGCTATCTAGAGTAGCACCAAACAGTATTTTAAAGTCTACTTTGGTAGTTCCCATCCTTAACTGTCTCCTAGAGGACTTCCCAGATAACTTACCAAATCTGATGGCTTTTCAGTTGGTCCACAGCTGGAGAGATCTGTCTATGGGGTTGTGCCCCATGTTGGGCACCAAAATGTTGTTTCAAATAAAAGAAAATCCCAACCATTTTATTTTACCCATAGAGACACAGGAGCCAGATGCTCAGATGAAAACTTGCTAGCTCCGAGAGGCATTGAAAGCACCAAGCTAACCTTCCTTCTCAGCTCAAGTCCAAACGGAAAAAGAAAACAGAAGTCTCACTAGCTCAACTGACAGCCCAGGAGGAAAGGGCCAAAAAACCCCAAGGCCAAAGGCTTGCTAGCTCAAAGCCCAAAAAGCCAGGGAACTGAGGCGCTGAAGCCGAAGCTAAAGCCAGAGCTTAAGCGAAAAGCTCTTTCTTCTCCACACTGTCTTAAATACCCCTCAACTCAAAGTCCCTCCTACTCTTTAATCCATCAGCTGGTTTCTTGCTTCGACTCTTGACCTAGGGTTAACTTTATTAAATCCTGTGTACAGAAAGCTCTTGGATTAAAGGTGTGTGATAGGGCTCAACCACACCAAAGAAAGAATTTCACAGTTCACAATATTTAGGTTCATATTGGGATCAAATATCCTGCAGCAAGGCAGGAGGAGCAGGAGGAAAAGGAGGAGAAGCAGGAGAAAGAAAGGAATCTGAGCAACAGTGTTTGCATCTCTGTTCCCTGGCAATAGGTGCACCGTGACCAGCTGCCTCGTTTTTGCTGCCATGCCTTTCCTGTCATGATGGGCTACACAGTCAAACTGAGCCTAAACAAAGCTTGTCTTCCTTAAGTTGCTTTGTTCGTGCATTTTACCACAGCAATGTGAAAAGTAACCAAAAGCAACTAGTGTGCACAAGACCCTGGTTGTCAGCCCCCCAACACAGCACAAAAGGTCAGAGTTAGGACCAGGGTGTGGTAGCTCAGTGGAAGAGTGCTTACCAAGTACTTGAGACACCCTGGAAGATTCCCCTTCACTATAAAAGCTGGCCCTAGGTTTAATCTCCAACGCCAAAGCAAAACTAAATGAGTAGCTGGCTCCAGGCTGGTGAGAAGGAATACCAGGCATAGACCAGCCCAGGGGTGAGTCCTGCACTCTCACCCCCACCTCTACAGCAGCCTGGAAATCAAGACACTCAGACCAGGAGCAACTTGCCTAAGAGTATGGGGTGGGGAGGGGTTGGGCACATGACACACATGGACTGGATACATGTTGGCAGGCATCTGGGAAGCTGGCACTCACAGGAAGAAAACAGTTTAGTTGTTTCTTTTTAAATGTCAATATTTTGTGATATATAACATACTCCTTAATTCTGTCACTGGTTGATGGGGTCTTTGCTTAGTCTTATTTTAAGACAGTCTCAATATGCAGGCTGGCCTGGAACTCACCATCCTCCTGCCTCAGCCTCCCAAGTGCTGGGTTAACGGTACGAAGCACCATGCTGGCCTCCTTCTTTTTCATACATGAAGCAGTATGTGAGCAAGTTCTTGTGGAGTGAAAACAGTGTTCTGAGAAGCTCACTGCTTTTCTTCAGGACACTGCACACTTCCGACACAACAGACTAGAAGAGAGCCCCTACCCTGAGAGGTGTGACTGAGCTGTGCTGAGCAGGGGGAGTTAAAACCAAGCAGAAATTTTCTTCTAGCAACCTTTCTTTCACAGCAGCCCTAGAGGTGCCGTTAACAAGGCCCAGGAAGCTTCCACACCCGTATGAGAGCGCTCGTCCCCCCCCACCCCCCCAACGCAAACGCCAGTGCCATACTACATGGCCCAAGATCTACAGGGGAGGGCAGCAGAGATCTCAGCACAGGTCAGCATGAGACCTGTGTTGTCAACTAACAGTGACAGTGTGCACAGCCCTGGGCTGACATCCCACCTCAGTGTTCCGTAAAAGCACTCAAATTGCCCATGTATTGTTATTTATTTTATTTATGGAGTCTTGATTTTTCAGTAAATTACTCTCCCCTGACTCTGACATATTAGTTTGAAATGACAACATTCAACACAAAATGAGCTCTGAATTAAAGAGATGTGAATCTTCAGATGTGCGGATAGAAATGTCCAGAAACCCATTTGAGGTCTGCGTGTTTAAAACGTCAAATAATGGAGAGGGTTAGTAGAATTTAATGAGTTATGGCCTCGTGTTTCTTAAAATAGTCTCTGTCACAGGAAGACTGCTCAGACTTTAAAGCAGCCAGGGAGGAGAGGGCCTTGTGTGCCCACACCATGAATACTGCTTATTTCTGGCTTTTCAAACTGTTCACTAGCCACATCTAAGCAGGGCTAACTCAGGTGACCTGGCCAGTCACTTAGAAAGGTCTTGCTCAGTTCCTAGGACAGCCTCTGTCCTAGATCCCAAAGGGTCTGCTCCTATGTTCTGCTGCCATTTGTAGCCCTGAAGAAACATAGGGACTTCAGATTCACTGCTGAGCAGTAGAATAAGGACACACTAGGGGACAGGTGGCCAGCCGGGGGGTATAGAGGGTTCCCAGAAGCATGCTGGAAAGGAAGCTAAAGGTAATCAGTCTACAACCAAAAGAGGAAAAAATCCACATGGGCTGGGAAGCAGAGTGGCCAGGTGCCCAAGGGCCAGAAGAGGGGGCCTGGAGCACCTTGTTTCTGGGCTTAAGAACAGGACATTTGTTCTTCAACTCAGTATGTGTGAAACTAATCCAAGCTGGTCCTGCTGCCCTGAGAGACTGAGCTGCTGTGGCCCTTATAAGCAGCCATGGCCCCTGGCCACTCTTGGGGAGGCTAGGATCTCCGTGATCCCTGACATGTTTAGGTCCCCAAGGCTCCCTCTTACAAGGTTGTCTCAAACAACTTCCTGAGCTAATGGTGGTACTAGGCATGGTGGGCAGGCTGTAGGACTCTGAACAATGGCTTTGCTCCTACTTGCACCAAGCGCCACCCAGCCCAGGTCCCTGGCAGCACTGAGCAGAGACCTAAAGGGCTGGAACTCATTCTGAACCAACAGCTAACATACCCCACAGCAACCATGGCGTCTCCTTGTCTACACCCCACAGACACTCCCCAATAGCTCCTTTGAAGTAGGAAGTTGCTCCAGGCTTGGAAACACTTCAGTCTGTGGCCACAGAGGCAAGAGGCCCGCTTTCATGAGCAGAGCTTCCTAAGAGGCCAGAAGGATAGGGAAAAATAAATAAATAAATAAATAAATAGATAAATAAATAAATAAATAAATAAATGACAAACAATTAAGGCTATGAGCCAGGTGCCTGCGCTAGGCTCAGTGCTAGCGGAGGGAGACCCAGGGCACCATCCAACCCTGCAGGTGAGAGCAGAGGGTCCCCACCGCTCCACCCAAAAGGAAAATGTCCCTGCTCTGGTATTCTCATTCCTTCTGAGTCTCTATTGGGTGCTACCATCTAGGTAGTGCTTGCCCACTGGAGCCCTGCCCTGAACTGGTCATTAGGTACTATCTCAGGCAGAGATGTCCCAGGACCTCAGAACTTCCTCATATCCAGTTTTGGCCATAGGGAGGGACCCAGTCCTACACCTGCAGCTATGCACACTGGTGGGGCCCTGAGAACTATGGAGGTGCTCAAAAGACCCTAGGTTACACCTACAACTCCATCAGTTATGGCAATCACACCTGCAATGTGGTAAATCTGCTTTGTATGTTTGAGACACAATCTTGTGTAACCCAAGGGCCTCAAACTCACTCTGCAGTTGAGGATGGCTCTGAACTCCTGAATCTCCTGTTCCTGCCTGAGTGCTGGGATTACAGATGTTCAGTCATGCCCAGTTTATGTGACATGGCCTCACGTGTGCTAAGCCAGCACTCTAATAACTGAGCTACAGACCTAGCCTATAGCTTTTTAAATTTCTATGATTTGTAGTAATGTGTATATGTGCAAGTCTGTGTTTGTATGTACACGAGTCCAGACGCCTATGGAAGCCACAGGCATTAGATTACGTAGAGCTGGTGATCTAGGGCACGGTAAGCTGTCCAAACCACCTCCCCAGAGCCTCTTTCCTAACGGTTCTCTAGCACCAACATGAAAGGAAACTTCTAAACCTTTTATCACAAGGCCTTTTGGAAGACTCGCTAATGGCAAATTTCCATCTAGGAACTCTAGAGGAAACCAGATTCCTGTTAACAAATGGAACCTGGATGGAATGTTTTAGCAGTGTTTCCTTAGAGGCACATCAGCAGGAACTGGCAATATGGCTCAGTGCTCAGGATCCCCAGCTCAATTCCCAATGCAGAACTGTGTGCCCTTTCCCAGCTCAACATAAAATGTCAGCACCCAACCCTTGAAGAGTGAGCATCCAATTCCCTTTTCCTTGCAGGGGACAGCCACACGACTCACCCCTAAAGCAATGGAAGTTAAAGATGGTATGAGAAAGGAGGGGGAAGAGAAACAAGCCCCAGAGCCCCAAGAAATCCCAGCAGTACTGTATCTCACTTCAGGCCTCCTGTTCATCTTGCAAATCAGTACATACATATATAAATATACAAACACATATTTATAAATATCATATATAATTATATATATCACAAATATATACTATTTATAATGTGTAAACAAAAATTGTTACCTTGGGAAAAAAAATTCCTTTACAATGGAGTACACGAGCGCCACCTTGTGGTGAATCCCTTTCACCATCTCTGGAGATACCGGTTTCCTGCCATTGCATTTTCATCCTAACAGTCATGCCTGAGGCCACCAGCACATGCCACACAGAAGGTGCACGTGGCATCTGAAGAGGGAAGCCTCCCTGAGGCAACTCTGGCTATGCTGGGGGACTCCAGAACCCTGCCACGCCAACCAAGGAAACTTATGACAGTAAAGGAGTGTCTAATTGGAAGGGTGACAGGTCTGAGAGACTAAACCTCCTAGCACCCCAGGAGAGGCAGGTGCCCATCCCTTCAGGAAAGCTTCATTTCCAGTGAGTCTCAGTGCTAAGTGGTTCTGGCCTGGTCTTCACCACCAACCATGAAAGGGCTGTGGCCCTGACCACTGATCTGGAAGGACAGGGGCAGATCCTAATGGGAACTAAGGCTGCTGTCAAGCCTTTGGCTGTTACTGCTTCTGTGTTCTGCATCTAGAGCAGGCCAGAACTTGATGCTGGTTAGTATCCTGCTGAAAATGGAAGACCTAACTGTGTCCCTTGAAGGTACCCCACAAACAACAAAGCTTGCAAAATTGGACAAAGCCCAGAACAAAAATGTTGACTGGGGGAGGGGGGGTGCTTTTTTTTTTTTTTTTTTTTGGCAAAACAACATCATACTATTTATTACAGGTATGCCTCTTACCCCCCTTTCTGAAAAAAGTCATTTGAGGTCTACATTTTCACGCTGAGAATTAACATGTAATATAGTCATCAAACATAACAGCATCATTTTGGGGTCAGTAGTATTATATCCTTGCTGTTTCCCCAAAGTCTCAGCTTCATGAGTTAAAGTCTTGATGTCGCCCCAGGTTACTGGCTTACTCTTTTTCTTAGACCGTCTCCTCTTAATTGGCTTGTCTACCTTCAGGTGCTTTGCCTGTCCAGTGGTCTCCAGGGTGCTCTCCTGGTTAGATGTATCAGAATGGGAGCCATCTGGGACTTCGTTTATTTTCTGGGGCTCAGCAGGCATTGGCGGAGCATCAGAAGGTCCTGGAGACACTTGGTAAGGATCATTCAGAGTAGGATGGAGTCCTGGGGTAGGATATGATCCCGCAGGGGCAGGATATGGTGCTGGTGGTCCCCAGGGTCCTGGTGACACTCTGCCCCATGGAACAGGCGGTGGTCCTGACAATGGAGGAGAAGGAGTAGGATATGGCCCTGGAGACAGATATGGCATATTAGGATGCTGCCCTCCTATTCCTGGTGCCCAAGGTCCAGAAGGCACAGGTCCCCGTGGACCTAAAGTACCAGCTGCAGCTGGATCTGTGGGTGCACTATTTGGCCTAGGTAGCTCTGGAAAGGGCATATTTGGTGTAGCATATGGCCCTGTGGGGCTGGGGCCTCGTATAGCAGAGGCTGGGTAAGGACCTCTAGGTTGGGGACATGATGGTCCAGAAGGAAGAAAGGGTGCTGGGGGTCTTGGCAGTAGTCCAGCTAGGGGGATGGAAGGAAACAGTCCTGTTGGTGGTGGTCTGAAAGGCACAGTGGACGGTGCTGCACTTGCTGGGAGTCTAGACAGCACAGCAGGTGGAACACTTGGGTTCATTCTGAGGGCTGGGGCCTGCCCAGCCTTGAGGAGATTAGCCAGTTTTTGTATTGCTCCCAGCAGAGGTTTTGACAGGGAGTTGTTCAGGTAGTGAATCTACCAACAAAAATTCATGTGATTTTTTTTTTTTTTCCGGCAGGATCTGAGCCTGGAGGAGCAGTGCACAGCGGTGACGAATTTGAAGAGACTGGCAATGAAGAACAGGCCCAAACAAGGTGACTGCTTAAATCTGCTTCATTAAGCAAAATCTGCCCTAAACAAAACAAAACGAAATAACTGGTTAATTATATACCATTTTGAACCTTTAGGGGTCTGGCCACTTTTCCACAATGAAGAAAAGGTCTGGGGAAAACTCAAGTGGTGGACACCGGATGGTTGGAGATAGAGAAAAGAGGGACTAGTGTGTAGGGCATGGGGCAAGAATGGCATCTACAGAGCAGCAGTGAGGAAAGAGGTGGTTTTGGAAATGTCTCCATGCTGATTCTAGAAAATAATCTTGTAAACTGATTATCAGAGAAAAGATAATTTTATAGTAATTTAGTAAAATTCTAGTGGAGTGGAATTCCCCCAAATTAAGATAGAATATTTGAAAACAACAACTAAAGTTGCCTTCTTCCTTAAAGGTGAGAAAGGAGATTATTTCCACTTGAAATCAGTAAGGACCAGGCCTGGGTGCCAGGTACCATTCCTACTCTGCATCATAGAGGAGGTCCCAGCCAATGGGAGACAAAAAGAATAAAAGAAAGGGAAAGAAATTGTATGTAGATTAGCAAAGGAAACAAAAAAGTCTTTATTCCAATTATCCGATTGTCGATGTGGAAAATTTTAATAAATGAATGACAACAAGAAATACCTCCTGGGTGATATAAGCTATTGCAGCCAGGCCGCAGGACAGAGTCATCACACAAAAGCCCACCCATTTCTTTTCTGTGTACCAGCACTATAACAGTGCCTAAGCATCAAAAGAATAACATCAGAATTCCAGAATCATCAAAGCAGAGCAAAGTCAGAGGATCAACACTAACTTCAAATAAATTAGTATAGTGACAAAAGGCACAACAGCATTATACTTAAAAAATAATTAAAAGCAATGGATTGGAATATAGTCTAGAAAGAGGTCTATACAAATATCAGCAGATCTCTGACAAAGGAGCTAAGACATAACAATGGTACTAAGAAAGCCTAGTCCACAAACGCTGCTGAAATCCTAATATCCATAAGCCCAAAGCACATAACTTAGACACAGATGGACTCTTCTCAAAAAGTAGCTCACATGGATTATAGACCTTAAGGCAAGGCATAATAAACATGTCAGAATTCTTTAAAACAATAAAATGAAATGATTTAAAAAAAGAGAGACACCTTTGGGACCTCAGGTTTGGCAATGAGTTTTTTGACACAATACCAAACTACAACTTGAGGAAGAAAAATTAAGCTAGATTTCTCTAAAACATAAAGCTTCTACTGTGTGAAGACCTTTGTCAAGACTGAAGGGGATGGTCTCAAAATACCCCTGGTAGAGCTGTCCAAGGGACTCCTGAAATACACAGCATATTGCTGTTGTCCACCGCTCCCCAGAAGTGCAAGTCCGTATTGCTGAAGATAACCATGCACGGAAGACACCCATTCTGAAACTGAGTCCAGAGACTCCTGAGCTAGAACCCACCTAAACGCGCTCTCTGAGGGCTAGCTTTCATGGTACATGAAGACACCGTACAACCTTCCAAAGGAGAGAAGTAACCAACTGTCCTACCCAGCTATAACATTTATGAACCACATCAATGACCAGCATGTCACAATAATCCTAAGAGTGCAATGTGTAACACCTTGGCAGTGACCAGCAGCTCTCTAATTGAACTTAAAACCCATTCAAAAAGAAAAGAAACGGTGTCTGGTACTGGAAATCTAGCTAGGCAGTTCATAGATATTAAAGGAGAAATCTATAACCAAAAATGCCACCATAATCCCTAACAATGATCTAAAGATTATTGTCTGTCCTTATACTCATAGATAAGTGTGGTAGTCTTCACCCATTCTCAAGGAAACTTCTCTTGCAGCAGATGAAGACTACTACAGAAAACTACAACCAATCAAAATGCAGTGTTGTGGAGTCCAGTCCCAGTGGAAGCATGTACAAAACATTCCTGCACCTTAGTCAGCGAACAGTGTGGAAGAGGTGGTGGAAAGATTGCCAGATGATCAGGAAGTTAGTTTGATGTGTGTGTTTCCTGGTAATATAAAAAGTTACACCCATAAAGTCTCACCAACATGACTTCCCAGACATGAACTGAGAAAGGACAGCACTGACGGATATGCCAAAGTGGACAGGGAAATGTCCACAAGGCCTCAACCCTACAAAAAGAACTACAGGCAACTGAGAAAAGCTGAGAGTGGGAGAAGTGGTCTTCCCCGGGGAAGAGCACCCAATTGGTTGTCCAGTGCCAAACAGCCCTGAAAACACACATACAGGTAGCATTATACAGATTCAACAGATCAATATTTAGGAAGGTAGACAGATGGATGGATGGTATATACACGCATGCATGCAATGACAGTTAAAAGGAAGCCATACATTTGAGGGAGAGTGGGGAGGGTACATGGGAAGGGTTACCAGAGGAAAGGGAAGGGCGAAATGTTGTCATTATAATCTCAAAAGTTAAATAAAATAATATCCCTGGTAGAGAAGTAGTGTCAAAAAATACAGAGAAGCCCAGAAAATGGGGGGCTGATTTATCTAGCTACTGTAACAAACTGCCACAGGCTTCACAACTTTCAGCTATAGAATTGTACTCTTCCTCAGCTCAGGATATCAGAAATTCACAACCAGGCTCACTGTGGGTTGGGCTCTATCCAGAAGTTCTAAATTCCTTCCTTCTGTCTTCTAGGCACAGAGAGTTACAGTACATCATTGTGGTGGCCCCTCAGTCTCCATCTCACCTACCCCTGTTTTTCTCCCTTTGCCTCTACAATAAGAGCACTTTTCACAGTATCTGGGGCTCCAGACAACCACGACATCATCTTTAGATCCCCAACTTGGAGAGATGGCTCAGCAGTTTAAAACACTGGCTGTGCATCCAGAGGAGCAGGACTCACTTCCAGCACTGCAGCTCACAGACATCTGTACTTCCAGTCCCAGGGAATCCAATGCTATCTTCTGGCCTCTACAAGCACTAGACACATAGGTGACGCACAAACAGAATGCAAGCAAAACACCCACCCACATCATAAATAATTTGTAAAAGCCTCTCAGCTTGATCCTATTCAGAACCCCATGTCCCAACGAGACCTCACTCACTCGATGTGCAGGGAATGCAAGCATAGATATATAACCTCAATAGTCAGCACAGTTAAGGGGTTAGCCTAAGGAGAAATGGCATATCAGGTCACAAGGAGGTATAAGGGGCCTGAAGATCCCTGGCTGGCTTCAGCATCTGGCAAGGTTTAGAGGGGATCTCATATTTCATAAGGAATCATGGGAAGTTTCACTAATAGTATCTGGGTTCTTCAGGTGACTCCTGCAGGTGGCTCCTGCAGGGCTGAGGGGAGACAGGGATCACTAAAGAAGAATCAGACAGACATTCTAGCTCAGAGAGAAGCTAGGGCAGAGGTCCCATGATTGGCTGTCTCTCAAAAGAACCTGTGTGTTTGGCTTCTGTCCTGGGAGAACTGGGACACCTCGGACCTGAGGTGCCATGTATTCAGATCAAAAGTCTTGGTCAGTCTAAGTTTCCTGATTTACAGGGTACAGGGGACATTTTGTCTTCTCCTCTAAGTTGAGACTTGATTTCTATATCAGAATAGTAATAAACTGCAGGGAGTACATGGGATATGCTTTTCCCAGGACATGAGTCATGTTTATCACAACCTCAGTCATAAACAAGATGCCTGGTGAAGCTGGGTCTCCTGTGAAGACCTGAGCCCAAAAGTCTCATCCTTCAACCAGACACAGGACAACTAGCCATGCCTCAGAGGCAGGTATGGCATTTTCCCCAGCACCCCAAAGGGCAGAGACCTGTTGTGCTTTGTGAGAGTGACTGGGTCAGGTCATCTGTCTCTCTGTCTGTCTCTCCCACACACACACCTGCTTCTACTCACTTTTTTCTCTTTTTCCTGTTCTCCCTTCTTCCTCTCCCACTCCCCCATCTCTGGCAGCAGGTCAGGGCTAAGGCCAAAGGTCTGGGCCAGAGAAGGTCTATAGCTCAGATTCATCCTAATGAACTTACCCCAATTCAAAAGGCTGAAAGGTTTCTGTCCAGGATCTTACAGTGGGTGTACTACTGTGTAAAGATTCTGCCAGCTTATACAGGCAGGGCTTAGCCTATGATCCCAAGGGATTTCTGCTCACAGAATGCTTCTGTGAGCACAAAATTCCAACCTCTCCATCCATCCACTTTGGTCTTTTCCAGGACTTCCAAAGTGGGCACTGAGCTGCTTCCCCTGTCTTGGCCAGCAGGGGGCAGCAACTCCCTAAGGAGAAAAGCACCAGCCGCTAACTTGTGTGTGTGTGTGTGTGTGTGTGTGTGTGTGTGTGTACACACATACATGGATGCATGCATGGATGGATGGATGGATGGACGAACTAGGGACCCATAAATGACTCCCACCTCTCTGAAGCTCAGTAACAAATATCTCACATTGAAACCACCAATAAGGTTTGTGTAGAATTTTAGCTTACTTTCTGGTGCCCTCCTAGCTCCTTATGTTAGGCTGGGAACTGTTACTCCTAACTACTGACAATGAAGAACTAGTTCAGAAAAGCTAGAAAGGCACAGGTGGCACACACTTATGTCAGCATATACTTGTGTGGTGGTACACACCTGTAATCCCAGCACTGGGAAGACCATGGCAGGTAGGGTCAGGAGGTCAGTGTCAACCTGGACTACATAGGGAGTCCAAGGTCAGACTGGCCCACATAAGACACTAACAAATAAAAAGAAGGGGAAGAAGGGAAGGAGAGGAGGAAGAGAGGAGAGTTCCAATCTGGAGGCACAGAAGATTCAATTCCTGACTTGGTTGGGCTCCTGGCCTTGGCACTAGTGCGGCGCCCTCTGTAATCACTTAGCTCCTGCGTGGGAGTATGGTGGGGGAAATGCAAATCCAGCTGGACATCCACGCCAGGGCAAGTCCCAGGTGCCACTGTCACGTAGCTCCAGAACACCCGCTGTGTTAGTTCTAAGGGCTCAAAGGACAAGAAGGGGGGCCACCCTGGGCTAAGTTTTGAAGAACACATTCTTACATACCTATCCTTTCCTTGTTATTTTATTGAAGGGCAGGAGACTCAGCTGTAATGAGTCACTAGGCTTGGTGTGGGTTCTGCTCCTGATGGTGGCGTTTCTCAAGGTGAGTCATGGGGTAGATGACGGACAGGTGCTAACACAAAGGGGCGGCCTTAAAAGGGCTTTCCACAGAGCAAGCAATCAGAGCCGAGGCAGAAGCCTGAGCACTGGGTTTCTCCTCAGAGCAGCCCTCACTCCCCAGATCACATCAATCAAGCTGACATTTCCTCCCACGAGAAGATGAGACAACTTGCATTGTTAAGGAGCTTTGATGTACAAAGAGCTTTCCCAATATACAGGATCCCTAAGTTACTAAGATAAATGGGGAAAGATTTGACATTTATTGTGCATAATTTAAGTTCAAATAGGTTCCCAGTGAAGAAAAATTGCAAGTTGCTGAACTGGGTCTGTGCCTTCGGTTCCATGCCTTCTGCTGCCATTTCTGTCTCCGCTGCTCTCAAGCTGCCTTGATTTTATAATTTAGAGAACAAAGCCATATTGTGGAATATTGGAAAGCTGTATTTTTATTTTTGAGATGAAGTTATCCCCATCTGTGAATTATTTCTTTTTCAGAAAAGCACTTAAAATGAGCAACAGTTTTTTTTCTCTCACTTTAAAATATGATTCAAAAATATCAAATAGCTGACAATGTTTAAAAAAGAAAACAGGAAATGCAGAGGTATCTATCAAGTTTAGAGAAAGGACGTTTTCCCAAGCCTCTAGGCCAACCTCTCAGAGACCTGCTGTGCATGGATATGACAAAGTGTGTGGTGTGTGCTCTGCTCCTAATCTAGAGCCTGCTGTGTTGCTCCAAAATGTAGAACAGAGAACTATGCATCAGCTCTGGATGGACAAGATAAACTGCACCCACCATGTCAGCAAGGACAGCAGGTCTCAGCCCTCTGCTTTGACCTCTGCCTCCCCTTCAGAAATGGGAGGAGCAGCACCGTGGAAGCCACAGGGAAAGCAGCAGAAGGGGCTGATGCACTCACAGAGGTTAACACCATGGCCTTGGGAGTTCCTGAGCTGACAGTGGTAAGGCAAGTGTTTCTCCTGACACCAGGACTTATGGATCCTGAAAGTTAAGAACTATATGCTTAGTCTCCATTCTTAGACATGATGCTTCGTCTAGGGTGTGGGAATCGGTCAACAGTAAGTGTCTGATTCATACTCCAAGCTCTTCAGTGACTTCTGACTTGCCAATGACATACAGGCACAGCTTCCAGGAGCACCTACCAGACCCAATGGGTTCATGTTAGGTAATGCATCTGCTTCTGAATACCTTAGGTAACACCCTAGAGATTCCAGAAGCGTCACTGGAATCTGGCCAAAACCAAGCTTAGGGATTCCAGGCAAGAAGGTTGACAACTAGGCTGGCAAGTCCAGGAAGGCATATAATTGTCCCAGGACCCCTGCCCCTCCGTTCCCAGAACTCCTCCATTCTCACCTGCCCTCTCCCCCAGGTTCCTGTCCAATCCCAAGAAGATCCAAAGTCTGAATCAGGGTGGGTGTTTAGACTGTAGTGCTAGTATACAGCTACATGACTCAAGCAAGTTTCTACAGCCCTACCTGGGGTTAGGCCACGATTGACAGCACTTCTTCTCTCACAGAATTCCTGTTAAGAGGGTTTATCAAAGAATTTTGGAAACAGAACCCTCCAAGGAACTGATCCTCTGGGCTGACCTGCTCTGGCTACCTGACTTGTCTAGTATAGGGGCTCACGGCCTGTGTTACGGCACAAGGTATCAACAGCCCTGGTGCTTCACCATTCAAAATCCAGATGTGTTGCACAGAGGCCTGGACTGCCTCTTCTAGGTTCAGCATTCTCAGGCTCCTTGTACCTGTTTTACAGGAATGCTCAAGGATGATACAGGGTGAGCCCTACCAGAACAAAACATCGCTTCTCCTGATGTTCCACTTCCTGCAGACAAAGCCTTTTGGAGGGTGTTCACGTGTGCTCGTATGTGGTATTCATGTGTGAGTGCAGGGTGCTTATGTGTGGATGGAGCCAGTTCCTATGTCCCCATGTTGCTTCCCAATGGAGAGCATCGCATCTGAATGACACCTACTCCACTCCCACTTCAAAGCCATGCCTAAGGTCAGATACATGCACCAGCTCTATTTTCTCATTCCTTCCTCAATGCCTATAACCCATCAAGCTCACTGATGCTCCCAATAACTTCAGCACCCACCTTTCTGGCTAAAGCCCAGAACCCCACCCTGTGCTAAGCTCCCATGGACTCCCTCCTGACCCTCTGCTTACACAGCAGAGATAGCTCAGAGATGACCTGCTCCTGATGGACTCTAAGCTCCTGTGCGCAGAGATTGGATCAGTCTCACTCAATAGGCACACAGTATCTGTTTCATTAATCACTAACAGTTGCTATGGAGACCTTCAGACCAGTGAAGGCAGGGGCTAGAGCATAGTAACTTAGGGTCTCTAAGGAATGACCCAAAGGGTTCTGTCCTTATGAGGACAAAACCAAACACTTAGGAGGACAATAGAGACAAGAGAAGAAAGTGGGGATAGAGTAGAGATGGGGTAGAAAAGCAGTAAAAAATGATGGGGCTGGAGATGGCTGAGTGGTTAAGACCACTTGCTGCTCTTCCATAGGTCCTGAGTTTGGTTCCTAGCACCCATATCAGGCAGCTCCCAACTGCTTTTAAGTCCAACATTAAAGGATCCAACACCCTCTTCTGGCCTTAGCATAGACGTGCATAAATTTTAAAAAATTAAATTTAGCATTTGTTGGCTCATTTCATGTCAACTTGGCACAGGGTAGAGTCACCTGAGAGGAGGGGACCTCAACTGTGAAAATGTCTCTGTAAGAGCTGGCTGTAGGCAAGCCTGCTGAGCAGTTTCTTAGTTGACGATTGATGGAAAAGGGTCCAGACCATTATGAGTGGGGCCACCTCTAGCCTGGTGGTCCTAGGTTCTATTAAGAATATGAGCAGAGCAAGCCAGTAAACAGCACACCTCCATGACCTCTGACATCAGCCCCTGCTTCCAGGTTCCTGTCTTAAGTTTCTGCCATGACTATACTGTGAAAGTGTAAGCCAAACACATTGCCGGTCACTGATTATTAGGGAAGCTGCTTACAAGTCTGTCCATTCAGTCTGTCGCTCTTCATAGAGATGCTTCCCAGTACACAGGACACACAAGTGAGAGCACTTTAACCATGCAGCTACAACTTGGCAGAATGGAATATTTAACAACCCTGGTATTACTTGAGATACCCATGCCTACATGGAGTCTGAATAAACTTAACTTAGACCCCAGTTCTGCGAGCAGTCTCAGGATGCTCCTTCCAAGGCTTAGAATTCTTTCCTTCAGTCCCTTTGGCTGCCCAGAGTCAAGCTACTCCTAGTGTGCCCTCCCAGGACTGTACATGTGCTCTCAGCTCTCCTGATGTTCTAGGGTGTCACCTGCCACTACCCCCACACTCTCACTAACCCGTCTCCCTCCTATTCTTCTCCATTAGTCTCATATACCCAGACAACACACACTGCAGCTCATTTTATCCTCCTAGTTAATGCAGAGCCAGTTTCAGAAACAACGCTGGGTGCAACTGCTGACAGAAGGCACTGTTCCAGCATGACTCTCCCCAATTCATGGCCACAGCCAGCCATCTCATCGGAGTCCACCCCCTGAAAACATCTTCCTGCTCTGTCCCCTACCACCTTGCCTCCACTATTGTGACTACCCTTCCTAGGTCACTCTGTTCTCCCTATGGCTTCGTTGCTGCCCCTTAAACACAACAGGAAGTTAGGTGTGGTGACACATGCTTGTAAAGCCAGCACTAGCGAGGTGAAAGCAGAAATGTTTTGATCTAGAGGCCAGCCTCGGGTTACAAGGCAAGACCCTGCTTAAACTGTGTGCATGCACAATCGTGTAAGAATAAATCGAAAGAATGAAAAGGTCAAGGTGCACCTGCATGTACAATGGCTGTTCCCATTTCTAGCAGCTGCCCAAGACTTCTGCAGAAGACTCTTGTCTCCTCCAATTACTCGCCTCATGATGTCAACTCTCCTGCTCCTTTCCCTCCTTCTCTGTTCCACTTGACTTTCCCGGTGTTTTTCTTGTGTCTTTTCCACTGAAAAGTAAGCTCCACCAGGACAGACACAACAACTCTACCCAAGCAGCACCCCAGCCAAGACTGACAACAGAACAGGCACCTGCTAAAAGGCAGACCAGCATTTGTGAAGTGGAGAATGCTCTGGCTTGGAACAACTGCCCTCTAGTGGTTCAATACGATAACTGCCAATTTCACAGTACCTATGGATTTCAGATACGTCAAGCCCACAAGCGAATAATCCCTCTTTATGCTAGAAAAACACACCCCAAATAAATCAAACGTTGACACCTGTTCCCTGGGGCTATATGGAGAGCTCAAGGAACCCCTGAAGTAGCACTCTGATGGGAACGGTACGCAGAAGCTAAGGTCAATGATACTAGGGCAAGCAAGCCTGGGTGATGGGCAAAGTTACGCACTCCGGTGCTGGGCTCCAGGTGCTCCGAGGCTCAGAGGCCCCGCCTGCCCACGGCCGAGCGCTCTCTATTGGAAGATCCACAGAGGTTCCACGTTCCCGTTGGCTCAGCAGTGGGAAGGGTCCAGGCCTACGTGCATCGGGTCCAGCCGGCCGCAGAAGTCTGAAGGCCTTAAAAATGCAGAGGGCCTCGCGTCCCGGCCCTCACACTATTCAAGAAGGCCGCCTACATCTGCCGGCGGACTGCTCCAAGACAGCCGGTCTACCTCCCGCGGTGGCTCCTCCGGTCCAACCTCGGGAAGGCTCGCGCAGACGCAGTCGGCGCACGGTGCGCCCCCGGCAGCCCCCGCGGCACTGACCGTCGGAGGAGGCGGAGGGGGATGACGTCATCCGGCGGGGCGACGGGCATTGGGCGCCATTTTGAAAAGGGAAAAAAATTCCCTCCCCGGCGGCGGCGGTGGCGGCAGCGGCGGCGGCGGCCGGGGCTGAGCGCTCGGAGCGCCTCGGTCGGCCGCGCTCAGCTGGGCGCGTCCCGCCCGCGCCATGGCAGGTGAGGGCCGTGCGCGAGCGAGCGGGCGGGCGGACAGACGGTGGTGGGGCGGGGCGGGGCCGGCCTGACGGCGCGCTCTGTTGCAGGAGCCGGAGGCGGCGGCTGCCCGGCGGGCGGCAACGACTTCCAGTGGTGCTTCTCGCAGGTGAAGGGCGCTGTCGACGAGGACGTGGCGGAAGGTGAGGCCCAATCGACACCCCCCACCCCGAACCCAGGGCGCAAGGTCACGCTCAGGCGCCGGCCCGGATGCGGCCGCCTTTGCCCGCCTGGCCGGTACTGCCCTGTGAGACCCTCGGCCGGTCCGCGGCTGAAGAGAGGGAGGGGCGGCCGTACGGAGATGGCAGTGGACGCCGGCGTGGGGAGAGACTGCGGCGGGGTCCTGTCTCGGGGGTCTGTTGGGGAGAGATGGCGGTGGACGCCGGCCTCCAGAGTCAGTGGGCAGATGGCCTTGGAGGCCAGCCTCTGGAGGCTGTGAGGAGACGACCGTGAACGCTGGCCTGGGGGGGGGGGGGGGCTGTGAGGAGGTACGGCCGGGGTCACAGATATCAAACCATGCAGGGAAGATAGAGCTGTGGCCACAGGTCTCTGGAGTTTGGGGTGTACGACCGCTTTGAATGCAGGTCTCCACAATCTGTAGGGAGAGAGACAGGACTGTAGGCGCTGGTCTCTAGCAGTGGCTCCAGGTACCACCGAGTGAGATGGGGCCCGTTTGTTGTGAAAGGGGCATGGCAGTTGCCCTTGAGGCCCTACGGGGGTAAATCAGGTCGCTGATACTGATGTTGGGGCTCATGTAGAATTAAAGGGAACCAGGGAACCGTGGACTCTGTGCTCCTTGGGGCCTGTGCAAGGGAAAAGGAGATCCATGCAGGGTTATCAGTGTCTGGGGGCCCATGCTGTGTGAGGCTGGACTATCAGAGAATGGGAAGGAGCTCTGGGTGCCCTCCCGTGTGGGCGTAGTTGTGCCAGTCTGCCCAGGTAGTTGGTCAGTCCTGGGCCTTCACCTCTTAATGTTGAGCAAGAGGGACTGACTTTGTCATAGGATCTCCTGAAACTCTGCAGTAGTGACATTTCACTGAGTGAGCCCTACCCCCCTCCACCTTGCTCTTTTAAAGTTACTTCTCCAGACTTCATTTCTAGTTTTTTGTTTGTTTTGGGTTTGTTGTTTGTTTGTTTGGTTGGTTGGTTGAGAAAGGTTCTTAGTGTTGTAGACCAGGCCTTGAACTCTGTTTGCCCCACCCTGCCTAAGTTTAGGGATTTGAAGCACTTTTATTTATTGTGTGTGAGTCTGAGCATAGGAATGTATGTACATGCCCCTGCACATGTAGAGGTTAAAGAACAACTTGTTGGAGTTGATTCTTTCTGACCATGTGAGTCCCAGGGATGGAGCTCAGGTCATCAGGGTTGTCAGCAAGAGACTTTACTTGCTGAGCCATCTCACCAGCCCCCATACTCATTCCTTAAATTTTATTATTTTTGGTTTTTGAGACAGTTTCATGTCACCCAGATTGGCCTCAAACTCCCTATGGGCTGAGGCTGGCCTTAAATTCTTTTGTTTGTTTGCTTGCTTGCTTGTTTTTGTTTTTCTGAGACAGGTTGGTACACCAGGTTGGCCTCAGAGATCCATCTGCCTCTGCCTCTGTCCCACTTCCTCCCTTCCCCAGCGCAGGGATTAAAGGTGTGGTCTACCATGCCCCAACTTTGGCCTTAAATTGTTGATCCTGCTGTTTCCACCACTGAAATTCTGAGATTATTGCCATATACTGCAATGCCCAGCTTTCCTTAAGACTTTATTCCTGAACACCCCCCCCCACACACACACACATCTGAGTATTTGTCTTTCCCCTAATTACAGATTTAAATGTGTTATGGTTGTAGATTAGTAGACAGGAACTAGGGGAGCGTGAAGATTGTGGAATTTATTATTAGAGATTTGAACATTAGAGTCATTACAACATTCTGCCATCTAATAAACATGGACCTTTCACTTTCTTCTAAAAGAAATCTGTTCACAAACCTTCCTTGCTACCAGCAGCGTCTCCTCAGATGTCCTTTCCTGTTCCTCGTTCTCTCCTTCACCCTGCCTCTTCCTGGCAGTGTCTGGCTTGGCTCATGACCCTTGAGAGCATCTGGAGGTCTGTGACACTAGGGGACAAGACTAGACCAGATCATCTTGGCCCATAAAACTGGTCTCCGAAAGTTTCAGAGGCACATTGTTTGAGATCGAAGTCAGGTGACTTATGTGAAGTAGTTTATTGATCTTGTTTCTTCTGTGTTGGCATAAAATGTATTACTCTGTTTCATTTTGCATCTGCCAAGTAGGTGACAGGTCAGCCAGCCTTACTTCTGTGATTTGCTGTACCTGTGGTGATGATAGTAATAAAAAGGTCAGTCTGCCTTAATTTCTGGTCTCTGTGGTTTGGTTTAGTTTGGTTTGGTTCGGTTTTTATTGAAAAATGAATTTAAACTGGCCTTATACTTTGGAAAATAGCATTATTTCCATCTAAAACTCTTGACAGAAGTATTTGTTGCTTGTGTTAAACTAATTAGAACTTTTTGTGAGTTTTTTGATTTGGTGTGTTTGTAATATTATGTAGTTACCTATATTTTTCTTTTTAATTGTATGTGTTCACAGTTTTCTGTTGTAATCCATACACTTCTTAATCCATCGTTTATTGTTTCATTATTTGTCAGAGAGAGCTGTGATATTGTTTGATTTATTGGTTATGGGCTTAAAAGCTATTTGCAACTAGGACTTGTAGCAACAGGAGTCACTATCCCAGTCTTACCAAACTCAAGCATGAAGAAGAAATGTTGGTGAGAGATAATTGGGGGGTGGCATTGAAAGGGGTTTATTTCGTCTGCTGATGCTTGGGTTTGAGAACTTAAGGTATAGCAAAATTTATCTGTTGAAACTTGTAGCTTGTGAGGTTTTTTGTTCAGCTCTGCAAAATTTCATGTAGCCCTGCTCCTCTCTTGTCTTTCTGCTGTCCTGGGCTTAGGCAGTTAGACATGTCTGAGAGATTAAGTCTGAGGTCTTCTGATCTGGCAGGCAGTACCCAGAGACCATGAGGGACAGAGAACAGGGTGTAAATAGGCTGTCCGGGCAGAGCAAGATGAAAAAGGCTTTGTTTGTATTTGAGTTTCATGTTTTTAACCTAAAAATCCCTGATACAGTATTCAACAGTACAATATATATATATAAATTAGATTTTGCTGTGAGTCATGTCAGCCCTTCTGCTCAAATACGAGGTTTCATTGTATGTGGTCAGAGAGAGTCCCATATACCTACCTGCAAATGGGAGCAAGCTGGTCTTATAGGGAGACTGCTGCTGGCCAGATGTGAAATTGGCTGATAGTAATGTTGGATATCCTCCTCCTGTTGGAGAGTAGACCAAGAAGGAAGAGTCAAAATAGCAAAGCCAGAGGCTTCCACTGGGCTTGAGAATGTTCAGTCACTGCTTTATTTGGGCAGATTTTCTGATGTGCAGTGACCCCTGCAACCAGCCCCTGCTCTCTATATATGCTTTCTGCTAGTGAATATTGCATGGCATTACAACCTTTTGCATGTTTGTACTTGGTAGACTGAGTCCTCAAGCCTGACAGCTGACTGTCACTTTCCCTTTCCTAGGTCTTGCACAGGACCCAGCCAAAAAGCAGTGGTAGCCAATGTTGAGTGCTGTGCAGGGTCACTATCTGTGCCAGTTAATTGACTCTTTAGCCATCTGAAAGGCTGCTCTTTTCAGTTTCAGATGCACAAACAAGACACCAAGAGTGGTCAGCTCAGCTCTGTAGCCACGCTAGAGCAGAGGCTGTGAAATTATGCTGCCTATCTCCAGAGCCTGCCTGTCTTGCTGCTCTTGTAGCCAGTTTTAGCTAGCCCTGGTTTGGAAGCCCCTTGTGGAGTCTGTTTGTTAGCAGAGATTGTACCACTAGGAATTGGACTTAACCCTTTGAAAACACAGGAAAATGGCATGCCTTAAAAAGGAATACTTATTCGATAAAACAAGGGCAGTAATAAGACAAGGAGTAGTGTCATTGCCTCAAACTTCACATGAAAAACTAGTCATCACAGATAAGTAGTAACTGGAGCCCTGCAAGGGAGACACCTACTGCTTTAAAGACAGGCTTGCAATCAACGCACTCACGGGAAACCTGAAGGCCTCTCTTTTTGTGTTTATTAACTTTCCAGAAGAAATGGGGGAACTGTTGAAGGAGTCTTATGTTGAACTTAGTGTTTTTGAACTTGGTATCACAAGATCCAAGTTAACAGCTGGTTCCTTCATTTCAGAACTTGAAATTTTAAATGCCAGGTCTTTTTGCTTAGTTTGTTGTAATAATTTCTTTTTTTAATTTTTTTAATTTACATAACTACTATACCTTCCTCAGCCCCTTCGAATTCTAGCCCCTACTATCTCTCAGATTCATGACCCCTTTTATTTATTATTGTTACATGTACACAAGTATAAATACAACCTATTGAGTCCATTTATTAATGCTGCCAAGTACGTGTGTTTAGGAGTAACCACTAACTTTTATATTTGGAGAGCCAGTGTCCAAAGACAGTTTAGAGAAGTGATTGATGTTGGTTCCAGGGATTGAACTTGGTTCATCAGGTTTGATAGCAAGTATCTCTTTTACTACTGAGCCGCCTTGCCAGACCTGACATAATTGTTTTTCAATCCATGAAGTAGTCTACTGCTTTATTCTCCTCCCCCCCCCCCCCCCGGAAGTAATACAAA